GGCCGCTGAGCCGTCTGAAGCTGGAGTGAACCAGGGCCTCGGCCTGCTGGCTCCACAGGGAGAGACAGAGCAGGAGCAGCAAGGGCAGCAGGAGCAGGGTCCTGGGGTGGAGGAGAGGCTGGTGGGGTCTGGAGGTGGATCTGGTTTGGAAGGCACTGCTGCTACTTTTGCTCATGTGCTTCTGTTTCATCTTGCAAAGACAAGAGAAGCTGTGGGAGACATCCATGACTGTGGCTTGCTCTTGTTTTTCGTCTCTGCTGGAAAATTGAGAAGTTTAATCTGACTAATAATCAGCTTTTTCAGTTTATCTCTCCTCCAGTGTTTCCAGACTGACAACCACAGTGTTTTCTATGTGCTCCGGTTTGTCCTCCTGTTTCAGAGTCACCACAGACAGATGCTGATTTATGGCTGATGTGTTTAGAGGAGAGCTGGCTCTGGACGGGACGTGTTTACCGCCTCAAACTGTCTGTTTATCTCTCCCTCCCCCCTTTGCCTTCCTCTCTCCCTCTTCTACCTTCTCTAATCTTGATGAAAAAAAGCTCCTCACCCTCTGATCCACTTCTCCCTCACCTCTCAGTCGTGCAGCAGAAGAAACAGAGATAATGAGAGTGAAGGCATAATTATAAGCCTTTTCCAATGTGTTTTGAATACAGACAGACTATGTCCCTGTGGAAGATTGCTCTATGCTTTGAAGTTGTAAACTTGGAGGATGGAAAGCAATTTCAGTGATGAGCAGGTGCCCCAGAGATTGGAGTCAAAATCCGAGAGCTGTGTCTTAAACTTTGCTCCCAATCCTTCATGGCCTCACGAGGAACTGAAGTTCACACCTGCAGTGAGTCAACGTTTGACCAGATACCTCATGAGAATCATCTGCTGTGGAGCAATCGCTGCTGGAAGCTCTTATCCAGTCATCCTTGAGTACTTAATCATCCATTCAAGACTGCTCCCCACCCACACATCCCAGGGGTTCCAGATGTCTTTCTTAATCCAATTTATAAAAACGATAACTCCAGGAAATTGTTTCCTGATTGTAATCCTCAACAGACGCGAGACGTTTCTTCAAATCTGTGGCAGCTCTTGTGCACACTCTCTGTGCAGCAGCGAGAGTATCCTGCATATGAAGCTCAGAGAGTGTTACAGTTGTTCTTGACCAGGAGGGAGTTTCCCTCCCAGCCTCCGCCTCTCTCCCTCTTTCAAGTCTTTAAACTTCTCTCTCCTGCTTACATCCCATCATCACCCCTCCCAGTGGTCTCTTTGGGAGACCTCATCTCTCTCTCTCTCTCCGTCTTACCTCCACCCATCTATCTTTTCATCTCCTCATGACTGCTTCCTTTCATAACTACTCAACGCTGAGTCTCAGGCAGTTTGGCGGGAAGCAAGCCAAGTGGCCTGATGCCCCCTTTATTAGCTGCAGTTTTCTACTTGCATAGTGCAATAGATTCAAATTGGATTTGATTTCTCTACAGAGTCAAACTGTGTATGGAGCAACAAAAACAAAAGGCAATCACAAGGTATCAGACAAGTCCATAATATAACTGAATGCATTAGCCGAATAAATAATACTGTTTATTTTTATGAAGAGTAAACACAAATATAGGCGAAATCTTTATGTTTCCATAAACTCTCAGTCAATTGTTAAAAAAATGCTTTCTTAAATTTAGACCAATCAGCTGCTAAATGTTAAGGTTGACACCATAAAATCAAAACTTTGAGTTTGGATAATGTTAAGAACGTATTAAAATAGCCTCTGTGAACCTCTAATTAGCATTAACTAGCTAACTTTGTTTTAGTGTTAGCTTGCTAGCTTTGTTTCATTTTCACTCAATGTTAATTGAACTTACCCTGTATTTAGTATTTCTATATAATCATTAATTGAACTAAATGTTATATAATTATTTATTGATGTATTCAGGTATATTTTTACTTGTCTGACAACCTTTTACTGTTTGGTCAGTTTCAGGGCAGGTGCTACATGTAGGCTACAATTTTAAGTTATTTGTACTCCATTTTATGCATCTTTAGACTCCTACTCCACAAAGATACGTTTCAAGTTACAGATAAACTATTATTACAAAATATACTTGATGAATTATCATTAGAAATGAATTATGACCTATTAATATAGATGAAGGAAACCAGTTAAAATTAGCTCCACCTTTATTAGAAATGTTTACACATAATACAGCCTATATTATTCTGAAGTGAGCCAGTATTGCTATTTGGTAATTTGGTATTACTATTTTACTTTTGGAACTTTAATTGTATTTAAATTCTAATACCTTTTTACTCTTTAAGTAAAATTTTGAATGCATGGCTTCTACTGATGTTATAGAGTAACCTATTTCTACACTGTTATTACTTTTACTAAAGTAACAGATATGAATACTTCTTCCACCACTCGTCAAAGCTCTGCAATCTTAAAAATAGCTGTCATGCCAAACCAAAAAGCAATGCGCCAAATTTTAACTCCAAAATAAGTCCACTTCAGGCTAACATTCAAGGCTTTGTGCAACCTTTGAGCACATTTTGTCTGAAGTGGCGGGTTTTGCTTTGCACTGTAACGCCATTTCCTGTTGAGCCGTTCATTAGCTTTGCCCTGCAGCAGAGCCTAATGCAAACACACTGGGTGCATGTGTGTGTGTTTCAACCAAAAGGACTTGGAGGGAAAAAATGACTCAAATATAGTAGTGAGGTTCAGCCCTGTGCCAGCCCGTGTTTGTGTACTCTTTTCTTCAAAGCGGCATGGTACTTGTGGTCACTTTGAAAGGCATGAATAACACTGACCAAACCAAACTGACCGCGGTTCATTTTGTCCTGGCCGAAAGGGCGAGTCCCAAATGCCAGGAATTAACGCTCTGCCCATTTTGTTTTTCTTTCCTCTGCACGTCTGCAACTTCAGGAGGTTTTGTCTGATAATGGTGAGAACGGTGAGAGGAACGGGAGAAGATGAAGAGGAGGAGGTGAAAGAAAGGAGAGGGTGTGAGTCAATGAGGAGTGACAAAGCGGGAATGAAGGAGGAGCTGAGTGCCCTTGAAACCATATAAACCCAACTGAAAATGAAAAATGACATTCCTGAGAGACAGAAGTGGTGGAACAGAGCGAGGACTGTCATCAGAGAGGGAAGTCTGGGATGACAGATGGACTGCAGGGAGGACGGGCGTAGATGGATTGAGAGTGGACAGAAAATGAGAGGAGTGTGTACACACAGCTGCAGAGGGTGGACTCAGACCTCACCATCTCCGGTGGAACCACCAAATAAACAGGACAAAGTTATTTTCAAATACTCTCTCTGTCTCACACAGACACATAAACTGGGATTGTCAGACAGAGCTGGAGGAGAAACAGACATTAGAAATGAAAAATTTCTAAAGTCACTTTCAATCACCACCACCACCACCACTTCCCCCCGTGTTTAAGTGAAGCTCCAATGGGATGTGTCCTTATCTGTTACAGGATAATTACCCAGAAATGTCCGGTCACTGCCTCTGAGTCTGTGGTCTGCTGTCAGGCATAAGTGGCTGTAGGCTGTAAACACAATTACAACCATTTAGCTCCTTTAAATCTGTATAAACACTATAAACATATGCACATGTACACATAAGCCCTGCATATAGAAAAAGAACTATGTCAGAATCATGAAGATGCAACACTAAAAATAACAAACTTAATTAACATCATATGATTTTGGAGTAGAATCATGCATAAATATATATACATTGGAATATAATTTATGTCAGCAGTGATGCATGCACACAAACACCCACTACCAATTACAATGAACATGCTGAAAATCAATACATAAACATCTTTCTTAACATGAAAAATGTATGTGTATATATGAACAATGTGGAAAAATGACAAACCAGGCACACTTCCAAAATAGACACACTAACTAACGCACTAGCACTACTGGCGACTGTGGCTCAGAGGTAGACCGGGTCGTCCACTAATCGGAAGATCAGTTCGGTTCAAACCCCGGCTCCTCCAGTCCGCATGTTGAAATATCCTTAAGCAAGATACCAAGCCCCAAATTGCTCCTGATGGCTGTTCCATCGGTGTGTAAGTGTGCCAAAAACGGAATAGCAGGTGGCACCTCGGACACCAGCGTATGAATGTGTGTGAGAATGTGTGAATGGCAGTCATAGTGTAAAAACCGCTTTGAAAAAAGGCGCTATACAAATGCAGGTCAAATTGCCAGGTATTTAAAAAGCCAAATTGAGCATCACACACAAAGATAGAAAAGATTCTATGAAGAAACATCGACACAAAGGATGGCCACATACTCTTACAGATTATGTAGAGTAATCACTATTAATAATCTGACAATTTTCTCAATTAATTATTTACTCTATAAAATGTCTAAATAACTGGGAGAATCACAGTTTATTCAGAGCCCAGCATGAAATAACTAAACAAATAATTAATGTAGTTTCAAAGAGGAAGAGGAAAATCAACATGTTAACATCAGAGATGTATTTGGTACTTTAACTTTGTCAAAATAGTTAATTAAACAATTGAACAGTTGATGAATATTCTGTCAATTGACTACTCAGTTGATTGTCTGATGATTTCAGCTCTAATATTATTTAATAATGATTTGTTGTCAACAAGAAAATTAATCACCCGCTAATTTGATACTGGATTAATCCGTCAAAAAAAGGTCAAAATTTTCTGATTCTAGCTTCTTAAATGTGAATATTTTGTTGCTTCTTTGCTCCTCTGTGACAAAAGAAGTGGACAAAACAAGACATTTGAGGACGTCATCTCTGGCTTTGGAAAACACTGATCAATATTTTTCACCATTTTCAGACAATTTATAGACATAACTTAGCGTTTCATCGTGAAAATGATCAAAAGATTAACCGACAATGACAATAATCGTTGGGTGCAGCCCTAACACCCACATTGACATACAGCAAACATATGGTCACACACAAAGACAGATACAGTCAGATTTATTGTCCATGAATAATCCAAAAATAATTAAAAACAAGAGACAGTTTTACTGCAAGCATATTTTAATACAAAAACAGAACAAAAAATTGTTTATAATTTTAGTTTTTTGTTTTACTTTTACACAACTGACTCCTAGTAACACCCCACCCTCCCTCCATGTTGTCATCATCACACTGAGAGTAGCACAGCATCAAAAAGTGGAGGACTCGTCTCCTGCGCCCCAAATCCCCCTCCCCTCAGAGAGACAATAAATAAATAAAAATCACCTTAAGATGTCTTCTTCTTTCTTACTGTAATTTCATTAGTTTTTCATAAACTTCCTCTCTTACACTGAGATAACACAGAGACAACTCAGCCACGTCAATGACGGGACATTTGAAAAAAAGCCTAGAAGAAGAGACGCTGGGAGGGACATGAGGGAGGACACCCGCTCTCATTGGTCCACTCTGCCCGCGTCTCCTGTCATTCATATTTGTAGTTCTCTCTACACATGAAGGGCAAACCCCTTTGGTCGTGGTCTGGGAATTGTAGTCATTAGCAAAGAAAGAACAAATGACCAAACAAGGCTGCCACTAGAATCAGAGACCTAGTGAATAATGTCATGTTACAATGAAGTAGAAACACACAGATAATGTCAAAGAGCGGAGCGGACATTTCCTTGGTACAAAAAAAACACAATTTCTTTAACCATAATACTAAATCACTCTCCGCCAATGGTGATATGACATGAAACTGAAAAATAAATAGATTTTCCTTTCAAGCTAGATAACAAAAATACAACTGGATTATAAATTAACCAGAAAACAAGAAGAAGAAGAAAAAAAGACATTCGCAAATTAAAATTTTTGCATACAGTGACTCAAGTCAAAGACCTCTTATCATTTCGTAACAATGACACACATAATACACACCACCTTGTGTGCGTGAGAGTGTGTGTGTGTGTGTGTGTGTGTGCTGCTGGGTTGCTATGGGCAACGCAGCGTAGACATTAAGGTGGAACTGCAGAGGAAGAGACAATTAGTGCATGCTGGTTGTCGGACTCTGCAAACACGGTCATTAACATGGGGTTAGGTTACACATGTCGTATATTGTCAGTAATGTGCTGTTAGTTGAGTGTGTTGCCATAAAAATAGTCCTTTCTATTGCCGGTTTGTGATTTTTGTGTGTTGGGATTGTTACGCCGGCATGTGACAAAACCACACCGCCCTTTGCTGAAATGCACACACAAGGCCGATCTTAACGTTCCAGCGGTCGGGAGGAGTCTGCTCTGCGGTGTTTGTGTGTGTGAGTGTTTGCCCTCAGCTGCAGCAGCACCGCCACCGCCACCGTCACCACCACCGACCCTCTGAGTCTGAGGTTAGCCAGTGTGTGTGCGTGTGTGTCGGACAGCGTTTCCCGCCTCCCGAGCTCTCCACACGTGGTGTCTGCTTCTGCAGATCTGCTGAGGTGACTGTTTTTCTTGCCAACCAGTCCAGAGGAAGCGACATGGCAGTTGTTGCATATTTTCTTTTGAAACTCATCGTTGAGGCATCTGGCCCACAAGCCAAAATAATGACCCACAATTCTTTTTCTTTTTTTTTCCTGAATGTCATTTGGGCTTTTTTTTGTTTTTGTAGTCGTGGTGGTGGTGGTGGTGTGTCCCACTCCCTACCGCGCCTCTGTGTTAAAATGTGTGTATTTGTGTGTCAGCGTGGTACAAAGCAGTTTAAAGACTTTCTCTGTTGTTCTGTCTGATTGGGACAGAAGTGTGTCAGTAAGGCAGCATCTCGTCAAGTCAGTTGGTGTTCGGTTCCACGCTGGTGAGGAACTACTGAAAGACAAAGCAGGAGACTGAAAGGCAAAATGGGGTCACGTCTTAAAGGGGAAAAGTCGGTGTTGACCCCACAGATTCTGGCCTGGGGCTGCCAGACCAGAACTCTCCTCCTCTTGTGCAGGTTTTCAGTCCGTTTATGAGACCAGGGAAAGAGTGAGAAGGAGATTCACCCATCTTGCCCATCTCCTTCTTTCCCCTCGATCTGTCAGTCACTGTGCACAAACTCCACTCAGGCCCAGTTAGATGGACTTCAGACTGAAGAGCTGGTGCACCCAAAAAGGCCGATGATAGCAGTCCACCCTCTGTGAAACGGAGGAGGAACGGCTCTGCTCCACCTTCTCTTTGATTGGAGTTATTTCTTCGCAGACCCTGGGGTCTTTGGGCTGGGGGCCTTTTTGGAGATGGTGGGAATCTTGGAGGGTTTGGCCCCGGGTCGTCGTGGGGTGTCTGAGGCGTCAGAGCAGACGGAGCGAGCGTCCTGTAGCTCTGATGCGTCTGAGGCATCGCTGCCGCGGCGACTGCTGGCTCTGCTGCCTGCACGGCTGCCGGCTCGGCTGGTTGGCCCGCTGGCTGTGGATGCCCCTCGTTTTGGATCTAACAGGAAGACAGAACAGAGAGTTGCAGAAGAGGGAGAGAAAAAACATTTGTGGTTTTAAGTAAAATGTCTTGACAAATACAGGACGGACTGCCATGGAATTTGAGTTGAGATAAGATTGATGATTGTTTAACTTTTCATCTAACACCATCGTGTAATACTTTGGTTCATGATGAAAAACCTGAAAACTAATTACAGCCCCATCCGCCTGTACTTTATGTGCAGTAATAAAGTTAACATTCTAACATGCTAATCTAAGATGGTGAAGATGGTTAACATTATACCTGCTAAACAAGAATAAATCAACTTTATAAATATGGAAGATTCAAAAGGACTGAGATATCTGCTCATATTTGAAGAATACGAATTAGCCAGTTATCTGGAGAAAGTGTGGTGGGCTCTTTATCGAGATAATTTCCTTTTGAGCTGCTAGCATGACCTCAGACACTTAGTCTGACATAAAATGAGTCTACAGTACAAATGTGACCGTCGTCTCACCAGTCCTTGATGGTTTGCCGGATGGTGTTGTTCCTCCGTTCTCTCCGGTCAGCGAGCCTCGGCTCGAGTGGAACGTCGGCCTCTTTAGTTTGGAACCAGACGTTGCCCCCTGCAGGAGAACACGGGAAACATCAGCTGAGGATAACTTGACGGTGGAGGTCATGTGACTGATGAGAATCACATCCGATACACACTAATAACTGTTACATGATCAAATGACTCCAAAACAAACAACACATTACGTACACATGGACACAACAAATATCTAACAACAAATGAAAACTACATGCAAAGACTTGTACCACACATACTAATACAAATAATGACTACCACTGTTTAACTGTTACAGGTTTGTGCCATATTAATTTTATAATAAAACTATATAAAAGAACGAATCACTGACCTAGGGCTGCATAAAAATATTATTTTCATGACTAAATTAATATATCTGCTGATTATTTTCTTGTTGTAATCCTTGTTCTATAAATATTAAAATTTGCTTGTTTTATGTGTTTACTAGAATTAAATCCAAACATATTCAGTTTACTCTGACATGAGACACAGACAAGCAGCAAATTAATTGAGAAGTTATATGTATACATTGTAATTTACTCAGTTCATATCATTAAAAATATCAATTACAGGCATTTTAAATGATTAGTTAACATTAAAATGAAAATGGCAATCAATCAATCAATTCATCAACTAACAGTTTCATTACTACATTAAACAGGTGATCACACCATGTGACAAAATTTGAAAACTTAATAATTGTCAAAAAACTGAATGTTAATCGTGCTCAAACTGCATTAAGGATTTTCCCACATTAAACTTTCTTTATAGTCAAAATTGTTCTATAACATCATCAATAATGTCTTTAATACACAGTTTACTATATTGTCCTTGTCGATTCAAAACCTCTATCTTCATAATGTCATCTTTCAGTTTTTAGTTCGACCACATCGTGTTTATTCTCAAAGGTCAGAACATTTTCACAGCCCTGAGGAGATGATGTAATCTTTAATTCAAACATGAAAGCCACTGAAACTGCAGGTTCAAAGTTCTCACATCAGAGCAGCAGAACTTTCTACGTGGCGGCGTGCCAGCACCCGGGAGTGTGCGTTAGTGCAACAGCGCGTTCAGTGGGGGTGGGGTCGGGTGGGACAGGGAGGTGGGTGGGTGGGTGGGGTGAGTGCGTTACCTCGTGCCCAGGAGTGGTGTGGCTGTGACCGAGATCTGGGCAGCAGTGGCACTTGGTTGGCGTTGGAGTTTTACTGTGTGCCAGCCAGGGCTTGGCATAGTCACGCGAGTGAGTATGGGAGGACTGAAGGGAGGAAGGGAGCAAGGAAGGATGGAAGGAAGGAAGGGTGGAGGAGCGGTACAGCAAAGCAGCAAAGGAGAGAAGCGAATGAAGGAGGGAGGGAGTTACAGAGGGACGGGGAGGAGCGGGGAGGTGCAGCGCAGTGTATTTGTGTGTAAGAGCAGATGATTTTATTTTTTTTGCAAAGAACCCAACAATGCAGGGAGGACATTTTTGAAGGCAGGTTAGCAGGTATGACAGGAACGAGGGGAGAAGGCAAAAAGATGAAAGACAAAACAAAGAAACAAGAACAAAAAATAAAATTTCACAGTTAAGGATGTGGTGATTTTTGACAACAACAACAGGAGGATGACAACAACTGAACAATGTGCAACATAAACCCATAAACACATTCAAACACACATATGAAGTCACCAACGTGAAATCAGTCGCTCTCATACACACAAACTTAATAGTAATGACACTGACAGTTATGCTTTTACAAACAGTGCTGACAAATGAAAAACATCATTAACATCAGATGATGACGACACTAATGACTACACCTAGTCTGGTTGACTGATAACAATGAGCTACATGATCAGAAGATGAGTATGACACCAGAGACAGAGGAGGTTGTTCAGGTTTGTGTGGCTGTGTGCAGTAACTGTGTGCTGTGCTAGTTTTCCCCTTTAATGTGGCTGAAAGATGAATTTGATAAATTAATGGAAGATTGTTCAAGTGATCTTTAGTGTTAAATAATGCTGTGTAAAATGTCCTGTGGCTCATTATCTATGATTTTGTTGGATTTGTCTTTAACCATGCTGTCCTCTGTGATTTATCTCAGTATGAACACAAGGTGCCTGCAAGTTTTAGAAATCCAAATCTTCTTTTAAAGGCACAGTGTGTAAGATTAAGGGGAATTTATGGCACATAGCGGTGAGGACTGCAGATTGCAACCAGCTGTAAATTCTCCTGGTTAGATTTCCTTCAGTGTTCATTGTTCAGAAGGTTTTTACTGAGAATCGTATTATCCACAGAGGTCACCTTCTCTCCAAAATAAATGGACCTGGTGATTAAAAGCAGTAAAAACACTGAATAAAGCAGTTTCATCTGACAAGACCATGTTTCTCCTACACTGTTTGGCACATCACAGACAGGTCACTAGCCCAGCACCTCTAATGTGTGATCATCTTATTTCTGATCCAGATGTTCAGGAGGTTTTTAGCAGGGGCCAAATCAGGTCTCTACTAGAGGTCTCTTCCTCAAGAAAAAAAGCAAATGACCCTATCTAGAGCCAGTGTTTCAATTGTCTGTTCTGGGCTACTGTAGAAACACGTCTGTGCAACATCTGACTCTGTGGATGAGGACCTGCTCCCTATGTAGATATTAACAGCTCATTCTCAGATAACAAAAACACAATTCTAATTTTCAGGAGATTATAAACTAAAGGAAACATACTTATTATATTCCATTTCAGCCAATATATGCCCCTGAATCCTACACACTGGACCTTTAAATTATAGAAGGTTGGTTGTGTTTTGTAAAACTGCTATGATTCATACAGTGCTACCATTTCTGTTCTGTCATTAATGTTGTGTAATGAGTGGACATGAAGCAGAGAAACCTGTCATTGCATGATGAAAAAAAAAATCAACCTAAAATAACTGGATTCGAGACATCTGACTCCTTTTAGGTGAATAAAATTAGATCCTGCCTAAATTCTAAAATCAGACACCGGCTCTTACCCTGGATGATGCTGAGGCTGTCGGTGTGGCGGGGGCGGAGGGAGCAGAGGGCAGGGAGGCACCGCTGTGGGAGGCCGAGGAGGAGGAGCGGGTGGGCGAGGCGTTGCGGGAGCCTGGTTTGGAGCGTCGACCTCGGGAGCGGAAGGCAGCCAGACCCTGAGATGCTCCTTCGGGAAGGATGAACTTCTCCCTCAACTCCAGGTTGGTGCGACCACGAGCTGAGGAGAAACAGAGAGAGGAGAGACAAGTGAGTCGGGCTGTTTGTGTCGGCTCACAGATTTCCTCCAGCGGGGGGCAGCAGAGGCAGCGAGCAGAGTGAGGGAGAGAGTCAGTGCTTCCTTGGCTGCAGACATCAGAGTCCGTGCATGTTTCATTTGAGAGTGCAGGTGGGCAGGGTGGGTGTTTGGAGGGGTGGGGTTCAGGGGTTCAGGGAGCTGTAAGTGCACTTTGGTTGAGTTGTTTTTAAGGGGAGAGGTGAGTGAGTGTGTTTGAGTGCAGAAGTAGGAGTAAATATATCAATTCAATACGCAACGAAAGTCAGCAAGTCGTCCACACGCTTAGGAGACACACTGTCATGGCTGCAGACAAATCCATCAACCAGCTCCACAGCTCATTGCTCTCTTTTCACATATTCCCTTGTTCATCGCCAGAGAAAACACTTTCTGCACTACAGAGATTATTTCCTCACAGAGACAGAGAGAAATAAAAAGCTGCTAACAGAGTGCTGATTATATCTTTAAAGGAACAGTTCAACATTTTGGAAAATATGCTCATTTGTTTTCTTCCATAGAATTAAAGCTCACTCACACATTGTTACTGTGACTAGCCAAGAAATAGTCCAGCACATAATCCATCATGAAACCACAACTTTTTCCACTTTGGTTTTTGTACAAATTAAACAAACAAGATATCAGATGTTAATTATTAAGCTTTTGAGTTGCTGAGAGAGCGAGGTTAGCAAATGGATAGACATGAAATTGACATCAATCTTCTAATCTAATTCTTGGCGAGAAAGTGAACAGAGCCAAAGTGAAACCAGAATGTTCCAGAAGTAAGAAAACCTCGTTCATATCACGTTAACATCTGTGAAAACCTCAGCATTTGAACAGAGCCTTTCTCAACAGTATGTCCCGTCTTCATATGTTTTTTATTGGTCTTTGACAAACTGCATTTCACACAAGCCCAAGAGCTGTGCAGACTTAAAGTCACGGCTCGACAGACCAGTCCATGGGTGAGTTGTGAGGCCGAGATCAGTTGAGACATGTAAAAAAAATTTTTTTAGACAGGAGAGATTGAAGCTAAAAAATAAATAAATCAATAACTAAATAAAATGGAAAAAATATTTTTTAATTTAGAAGTGGTCATTTTTTGGAAATGGAGGAAACAAGTTTACCCACACTGGTACATTTTTATGGGAGCTGTATTTTTTTGTGCTAATTACGTAATTGTTGTATACTTTGTTAAAATCACAGAGCTTTTAAATTCTGGTAAGTGTTGTTGTGTATGGGGATGTTCCTAGCAACTAATTTCCCTGATGTTTAAACAGAGGTTTAAACTTAGACTAGTCGACTAGTCTTAAAGTTCAGAAAACACTCGGAAAGCAGTCAAAATTGAGCACTAGTTAATCTATTGGTTTTAACATTGTAAAAAAAAAAAGAAGTGTATATTATAAGAGCCATCTGAAATACCGGATTTTTCCGGTAACTATAGGAGGCAGAGTGTGTATTAAGCCTTAAGTTTTGCTGGTGCCGAGTCCTAAGGGTAGAACCATTTGGTCAACTAGTCGACTGATTGTGATGGATGCCAGTTTGTTTAAGAGGATGGAAAGGAAACTCCTGTAACATGATTAAAGAAATGCTGAATGAGAGATTGCATTGAGTCATAGAAGCCACTCGCCCACACGTGACGTCATGACTTCAGGTCTCTAGAACTGTATTTCCAAAATGTCGAACCATTCCTTTAAGCAATGGCAAGTGTCTCCAGTTTTGTGATAAAATGTTGCACACACTTTCATTGCGTATTTGCTTAAAAACATCTGAGGGCGGTGGGAGCAAAAAGCACAGCCTCTCTTCTCTCGTTTCTCAACAAAGCTCTCCCATTTTGATTTTCATTTTTTGCTGCGCGGGAGCATCTCAGCTCTGCTGTGTTTATACACAGCATGTGTATAAATATATGTGGAGGTCATGCCTGGTTTATGCTTAGCGGGAGAGAGAGAGCCCAGACATTCAGGGTTTCTCCCTTCTTCAAAAAGACTCAGCAGCATTCTTGGACAGAAAGTAGTGCAGCAGCCCCAGCAGACAACAACAAGCCTGGAGAAGCCAGCCACGAAGAGAAGAAGAGAGAGTGAGAGGAGAGTGGTTGAAAAAGGAACCAAAAATAGGGACAGGATAGACAGATTCAGAGAGGGAGCATGAAAGAGAAACAAAATGAGAGGAGTGAGAAATAATGTCAAATAAAAAATTAAAGAGAGAAGGAGGGAGGAGAGGGGGGCTGCAGCTAGCTGTAGCAGCAGTGCAACTTCTAGCCTCACGGCCATTGTCCCTAGCAACCGAACAGCAAGGCCGGTCAATTAAACGGGTGCACCCTGCAATTACGTCCCCCCTCAACGCCAGCCAGCCAGGTGCACCCTGTAATTGTGTCTCCCTCCAACCAGCCATCACATTTAAAGGAGCCGCGTTGGAAGCCAGCGATATTAGAAACCCAGGCTGGCCACGCCCAGGTCTTACACACTCACTGTCTCTCTGTGAAGCATGTGTGACAATTTCAACTGTTTCTATTTGGGCTTACACTAGAAAAATAACTAAAAAGAAGATGTAAGCAGTGTTCATTTTAACATGAAAACACGACAATAGTTTTCTGCTGAGCATCTGCATTCAGGTTTCTTTTACTGTAAAATTCAGACATCTTGAATTGAGAATTTAAGAAAGTATCAAAAAAATAAAATAAAATATCCAGACCAGGGGTTGGCCAAATCCTGCTTTGTAGTGAGTGAGGGAAGCATGACGCAAACATGTGGCACACAGACAAGACTGACATCAATGCCTAAACACACACAATCCTGACCACAGTTAGAAACGGTACAAACACACATATACACACATATATATATATGGAAACAGAGAGCAGCTGTGGTTAAAGATGGAGACTGACAGCTGGAGCGACTGATGGATGACGAATGGATGGAGAGTCAAAGAAATGTAGTGACAGAGGAGCAGAGAGAGGAAGTGTAGATACCTCGGCAGCAGAAATAGCCAGGAGTGACTGTCACTAAGAGACACAAGAGACAATGTGAAATAACAGCATGCGCATGGTGGAATGAAGAGTCTCTCTCTCTCACACACACACACACACACACACACACACACACACACACACACACACACACACAGACAGACAGATATCACTTCTTGGAAACACACGGGAACTGCTTTTGGAGTCGAGACTGTCAAAAATCACTCCTTCATGGACACACTCACACAGACTATAAACACACACACACACACACACACACACACACACACACACAGCAGACCAATGGGGGTCCAGAGGAGCATCAGAGACCCCTGAAGCTTTTTAAGAAAACAGGTCAGGATTTCAGAGCTTGCATGAGTGGCAACAGCCGGGGGGAGGGAGGAGGTCAGGAGAGAGGAGGAGCAGAACAGTGGGGAGACATAACGTTAGTCAGGTGATCACAGTCAGCAAGGCACAGCAACAAGGCCAAACCAGAAGAATATGGGACAGAGAACAAGAGCAGAGGAAGAGAAAAATAAATCCAGGAGAGAAAGAAATCAAAACAGACGGGGCGGCAGTTAGGAGAGAGTGAAAGCACAAGAGATAGAGGAGAAGTCCAACCTATACGAGATGAGATGGAGCTACTGGAATCGGAGCGGAGAATCTTAAGTCCTGGATGTTGCACTGGGGAAAGAGAAAAAAGGAGGGAGGGAGGGAGGGAGGGAGGGAGGAAGAGAGAGGGGGAGGAAGAGGGAGAGAACCATGCATCATGCAAAACTACTGTTATTTTAAAGAGAATGAGATCAAACTAAGACAGGACAGAGGCCGAGGAGAGAGGATCGGCCGTGCATATACAGAAATAGAACGTGTGACAGGATAAGATGATGAACTCCTTGAGGACGGGCTCAGAGAGATGGGGGAGAAACAAAGACACCGAATGTAGATGGCACTGGAAGGAAACACCGGAGAGAGAGAAGTGAGAGGAGGCAGTGTTTCACTGCGTCACCTGCTGACAGACAACTTGTCAGTTTTGTCGGTGTGTTTTCCTTCAGCTCAATCCACTGTTCTGTTTGTCGCCACTCACTGTTGCTCAGTGGTGCAAATATGTCAAGAGCTCTGTGCGGGAAGTGTGTTTGGTTTTGTAAAGAGTAGTAGTATGTTTGTGTTAGAGCCCGACCGGTATTATCTGACATCTAACCGATATCCACCTTCCAAAGTGGCACCCCACACATCCCAAATAAAACTGCTCCCAGGCATACATACACTGGAAAGGCCTGTCAGGCTTGTGCATTTTTCATTGTACATTTCTGCAAACTATGGATATGTTTCATATGTATTCTTATCAATGTTTCTTTAGTGTACAAAAAAATATTGGCTGCCTTTGTCATTGGGAGGATGAGGGGATGGGGGATGGTGTAACACCTAGGCAAGATGCCTGCCAAGCTGCAGACCACTACACTTTTTTGGCAACCCCTCGCTTAGTTTCCAGCTGGGATTGTGCCACCAAAAGCACAATCTTTTCCTAACCATAACCAATTTTTTTGTGCCTAAACATAACCACACATTAACCACAGCATTGTTGCATATATTCACTACATAACATACAAATGTATCATATCCAAGGTTTGCAAAAACACACAATGCAAACAATTAAGCTGGTGACTGGGTTGGCATTTTGATGCATCTAAAAGTAAAGTTAGTGATTCCCTGCACACATTAATTGGTTAAAATTTTTACAGATTTTTTTTGCACTTTTTTTGGAATTGATGGGTCAAATTTGAATAACACAGTCATTATAGTTACATATATTAAATGTTTTATCACTGTTTCTTTTGGAATGATCGTGTATGGAAAAAAGTATTTTTGGGCTAATCAGATGGCTGATACTGCAGTACAAAAATGTCAAATATAAGGACAACAATAACTACATAACAACTGGTACATTAAAGATAAAATTAACAAATAAAGATTATTTCAGTGATGATCAGTGGTTATTTTTAAGAAAAATGTATGTAATGTTCAGAAAACAGTCTTGCTCACACTACGCTACTTCATATTTTGTTTTTCGTATTTCTTTTCAAAAGGTTTTGTGGACAGCATTTTTCATATATGAAATTACACATATGAAACATATTCTAATATGTTGGAGTTTATAGTTCTTGTTGAAAACACTTTAATTTCCAGTGAAATTTACTGTTTAAAAAGTACTGTTATATTTGTTGTTGGTTTATTTTTCCAACTGCAAAATGTCAAAAATTCATAAATTAACTGCATTTAAGAGATTATTTTCAAAAATGTTTATGTTAAAGGAAATGTGCTACAGAAATTGGTCGGGCTCTAGTAAATGCATGTGAATGACAGAAAGTGAGACAGAGGAGGAGGAAGATATGATTGTGTGTGCGTGTGTGTGTGTGTGTGTGTGTGTGTGTGTGTGTGTGTGTGTGTTGGGAAATCTGTGCCTGTGCATTTGAGGGATAGATGATCTGGGGCCGTGTGTGTGTGTGTGTGTGTGTGTGTGTGTGTGTGTGTGAGAGAAAGAGAGTAAACATCACTCACCTCTGCATGGATCATTTTTGACAAGGAACTCGTCCAGAGCCATCCAACCACCTCCAACTCTCACCATCACTGTGCTGCGCAGGATCCTCACCAGACGCAGCTGCTGAGAGTCACCGAACTGAGGGAGTATAAAAAAAAAGGGGGAGGAAGGGGCGAAGAGAAATGAGGAGAAAAGAGGGCAAGAGATTCGTGAGCAGAGTAATAAACAGAAGAGAGGAGGATGAGGGAAAATCAAATGAGTAAAAAAGAAGAAAAGTAAGACGAAGAGAAGAGGGAAGGAATCAAGAAAAGAAGGAGACAAAGTTAGTGAGTAAAATAATAGTTGATAAACTGATTGGTGAGTTTTAATTGATTCACAGCATCACACCAAGCAACCCATGTACCACGTCTGAACAGGCGATGTCCCTACTCCATGCAATAACAGAAAAAAAACATGCACTGACATAACTAAAGAGTCAATCTGATGATTCTCAGCCCGGTTCACCCAGCCACCCAAATATAACCATTATCATGAACAGTAGAAATCACGTATTCAGTCTGAAAATATTATCCAAACCACCGAGCAAAGCAGAGTTCAAGCACAGAGGGAATTTTCTGTATCTCTCTCCAAGCAGCTTGATTTGCTTCCCAGCTTCAGTCCACAGCACACACTATATATCACCTCACCACTAATTACCACTGAAGCCATGTCACTGTCGCCTGCTTCACGTTGTGCAATTTGTCACGCTCAACACCAAACAAATCACAGCAGGAACACAAGTAGATGGTGAAACCTGCTTACACGTTGCACAGCCACAATGGAGTGCTTTTTAGAAAAATAATTATTTAATATGGAATTAAAGCTACAAAAACAAAAAAGATAACTGAAAACAGAAAGGACAGCACTCCATTGGTGGGGGAATACAGGAAGCAGATTTCACACATCCAGTCACGGCAGCGGCAGCGTCACTTTACCTGGTTTCCGAGGAAGAACTACAATAAATCCAGAAGACACGGAGCACGGGAACACAAGGAGAAAGAAACAGAGCAGGAGTGAAACAACACATACTGATCACTGAGGTCTGTAATGTATGTGGTGTGTGTACAAGATCTTCTAAAAACTGGCTCTAATAAATGGTTACATTTCAATGTCTTTCTGTTATTTTAGTTTAGAGTTAGTTGTGTAAGCGAGAAGATGCAGCGGACATGAATGCCTACGGTTATGAATCATGACAGTGCTTTTTAAATCTGCCAGCTGATGACGGTGAGATGGAGGAGAAGACAGTGACAGTGAAGAAAAGTGAAGCCAGACACAAACACAGGACAGACAAAAACAAACTGGTGTAGTATTAGTATCCCCAGTGTCCTGCAGTCAGACGCTGGATATCATTACCCAGTGGATAATGATGGAGTGGACACACACACTGTAGCAGTGGTGGGGGTGGGCAATCCTGTTAAGTGCTGCTGAAGACAGTCAAGAACCGCTGTAAAATGCTGCATAGATACACACAGACTGCTGGGAGAACCGTTATAGTCACTGTAGCTAGTGTAGGTTTTAAACAACTTCCATAACCGTACAAAATGGAAGCCTAAACCCACTTGGGGCTAAAGTTGCAATGATTAGTCACACATGGTGATAAACTGTAAAGCCTTGGATGTCTGGAGTGTTAGTCAGATAAAACACGACATAAGTCTACCAAATTGTCTTCTATTTGGGGCTCAGGGCATATAGCAGGTCATCCACTGATCAGAAGATCAGTGATTTGATCCCTGGCCCCTCCAGTCTGCATGTCAACGTATCCTTGGGCAAGATACCCCAAATTGCAATGGCTATTCCATTGGTGTGTGAGTATGTCTATGAGTAGTAGTGGCACCTTGTATAATAGCCTTGGCCACCATGGTGTGAATTTGATATGTAGTGTTAAAGGGCTTTGAGTGGTCCAAATATTAGAAAGGCACTATACAAGCGCAGATCCATTTACCATTCCATTTAATCTCTTTATAATCAGGCAAAGGACGCAAAAGTAGTAACATTACTCGGCAGATTTTGGCACCCTGTCAGTTTGCCGTTAATTATCATGTCGGTATTTAAAAAAAGGAAAATATCAGTGAAAATTTTTAGTACCCAGCAGTCCAGTGTGTGTTTATACAGCCACATTTACATGGTTTTGTTAATGTTTAGGTGATGATAAAGAAGACTCAGCTGACACTCCTGGAGGGCTGTGAGATATTATTAACACATTACATCAATGTTATCATGACATGGAATGGTATGTTATAATACAGACACTTATTAATACACCATGAGGTCATGATGTGAGGTGGACACGTGAGAGAAAATGCTGTGAAGTTATGTTGAGAAGTTAATGGTGCCTGCTGGATGAGTGAAGACACAGCCAGTTAATAATAAACTGTCCATTAATCAGACCTGGGTCAAACAGCATTCGCAGAGTAACTCTTGGCATTTTTTTTTTTTTTTATCTATTAAAGTTTATTCTTTTTATTAGTAAAGCAGAATTTAGCTGTTACTTCAATTTTCAATTTTAGCAACAAGATGCTGTCAAAATAAATCTGACTCTAGACTTTAGTGCATGTAAACGTACCCAACTAAATTCACCTGTCTGCTAATCTAGCATTAAGAAAACACCTAAAAATTGCTTGCAAACCCCCTTTGACCCAGATCTGTTAACAATTACAAATAGACAAACTGCAATAAACATTAACATTTCCTCTTATACAGTATCTTAAGTATACATTACAGTGTGTTACTTGTTCTAATAATGATGAAATAATAATGTTAAACTGAGCCAGAGCTGAACTTACCCGATATTTGTTCTCTCCTATCTGCTCCACTTGGAACCTTTTAGCACATTTACACTGGGCCACCTGCCGAGTCACCTGCACAACAACAAATAATGTTAGAGATTGCATTTAGACTGCTAACCATGCATTAGGCCATTCCTGGGCCTGTCTAATCGCTGACTGGTAGCTTACTGTATGAATACTTTGCCCTGATATTGCACCATTCACATCTTTATCTTTGCATCACATATTTTCTTTAGATTTTTCTTACCTCATCCTCGATCTTATCAGCGTCAGTGGTGGGTCTGTATGCATCCTTGTTGGGATGCAGAGCAGCAACAAACTCGTAGTAGTCGATGTAACCGTCTCCATCTCTGTCAAAGATGTCTGCCACAGCTGTCATCTCCAGCTTACTGGTGGGAAACTCTGCACAGATGCACAACAGGAATTCATTTACTTCACGTCTTTGTAACTGTAAATAAAAAGTCATCCCTACAACCAAACAAGCCATCACCCATAACCTACTTGATGCCAGGATGCCGTCAATAAACTCCTGCCGTGTGATCTTTCCATCCTGGTCCTTGTCGATGCGTCTGAAGAAGTCCATGACGCGAGACTTTTTATGGTTCATCCAGCGCATGTACTTTTTCCTCCACACGTCGAAGTCAAAGTTGGCGAACTCTTTGAGCTGAAAATGGATAAAGAAGACAGTGCTGTGATACTTATCATGTCATAGTGACAGACAGAATGTGAGTCTGAATGTTAAAGAATGTTTCACTGACCAGGAAACCGTCTATATTAAGATTTAACTTTTATTATATTGTTACATATCTAATTGTTGGCTTAAAGAAAGATACCTCCTCCAGTCTGTCCAGACCGTCGTTGAGCTTGCGCTGGCGGTCCAGAGCCAGCAGCCAAACTTGCTGCCACCTGGCACAGAGCTGGTTGAGTCGTGGGTTTCCGCTGGCGAGCTGCATGGCTGCCTGCTGTTGCTGCTGCTGTTGTTGCTGGTGTTTGCCTGCAGAGGAAGCAGGGAGTTAATGAATCCTCTTTGTCCCCTCTGATGAACTTTCTATGATGCATGCACTCATGTTATCGTCTAAGAGTGGGAGATGCTAATATTTGTGCATCAAAGGGTAAACACAGGTGACTTACGAGCTCCTCTCCTGTCGGCCAGGCTGCTGGGAGGCTCAGCTGGTTTTCTTTTGTAGGTCTTCGTCACTTTGTCAACGTCTGGCTGCTTCCTCGTCATCTCCTCCATAAACATCTGGGAACAACAAACCCCAGCAGTGAGTAATGGACAGTACAAACACAGGCAGTTTAAAGGGATGCATTTAAAACTATGTTTGGGCGTTCAGTTGCCCACAAACAACTACAGTGAGTCAGTGAAACCCACCTGGTGTTCTGTGATGAGTGTTTTGAGCTGTGGGATGTCCTGAGGAAGCGGCTCGGTGTCTCTCTGGACCAGTGTGGTCTCGGCCCACTGTAGCCATGACAACAGCTCCTCCAGCAGGTTGGCATTGTTGAGCACCTCAGTCAGAGCTGTCTCCAGCCGCTGCTCGTGCTGTTTGGCCCACGTCAGCACCTGCAGAGCAAAATGTGTCGATTCGTATAAGACATTTCAAACTTGTTCTCATCATTTTATTTGTCATATGTCCCTTTATAATAGAGAAACGTGAAAGGTGAATAAATTTCAGTTCTCCCAAATATCTAACCCTGAAGCTAAATTGTAGAGACAGTCTTCAAAACAATACTTAACCTAGGATATTATTCAAGCAAGTATCTAATGAATGCATAACAATATCTGGGAGATAAATGTGAGTCTATTGTCTATAAAAATGACACTACTAAAAGGAAACCTCAGTCCCAGCCTCCCTTTCTCACCTCCTCAAAGCGTGCCCTTATGATAGTGATCCAGTGTTTGATGGTGGTGATGGAGTCAGGGTGACAAACAGTCAGGATGCCCTCTCCCATGCCAGCAGCCTTGTTGACATCCGTCCTCTTCTCCTCCACGGTGCCCATGAAGTCACGATGTGTGTGCAGCAGCGCCTGTAATGTCTCTGCCTCTTCTGGAAGGACACCGCGGAAACGAAGCGTCTGCTCGGCCTCAGAGAGCCACTCCAGAAGCACCTGTATCGCCGTACGAAACTCTTCCGCCTGAGAGAGAAAAAGGTAGTTGTAAAGAAGACAGTTAGAGGTCTTTAACAAGGTTTGATGTTAAAATAAAGTTTTAAATGAGCTATGCAGCTTCCTCTCTGACCTGTTTGAGGGCCTGCTGGAGGCGTGTTTGCTTTGTGACTGACAGAGCGCACACCGTATCCCAGCGGTTGCTGAGCTCCTGAAGCTGAACTTTGACCCACGCCGTGTCATCGCGACCAGTGTCCATCAGCTCCCGAGCTGAGCGCTTCAGAGCCTGAACACTGCTGGTTCTCTTGCCTAGCTCTTTTTGGAAAGCCTGCAGGTTTAGACATCAGTGCTGTCAGACTCAGAACGTTCAGTAATATTATCATCTTGCACATATTTAATGAGTACAGTACTCTTCACACACCTTATGTGAGTCCATGAGGTTGGACACCAGATCCAGATCTCCATGGACTGGCTGGTCTTCAGCCAGCTGGGGCTCTACCCGGTACAACCAGTCCACCAGGGCCTGGAGAGCCTCGGCAAACTGGCCTGAGAACAGCAGAGCCTCCTCCAGCTTGTGTTGTCTGAATGAAGAAGACAAACAGCTGTTTATTATTGTATTCCATATGAAAATTCACATTTGTAATGGGAGAAAAGGGGAAAAGCCACTTTTATTGCCCGTCTATCATCCTCTTTACCTCTCTACACTCTTGCCACAGACCGTGTCCCACTTGTCGCGGACCTCTCCCACCAGGTGGTCCAGTTTCTGGGTGTCTGCAGGCAGCTGAGCCTTGTCCCTCATGGCTCTTCCAGACCTCACTGTGGTGTCATAGACTGGCTGCTTTGACCCCAACGCTTTCTGAAACTCCTGGACAGGAAGACAGAGGAACGGAAAAAGAGATTTGTAGTCTCAAGCAAATTGCACTCAGCTGCAAAACTTTGTGTGTGTTTGCCCTGTAATATCATTAGTGCAATATCTTTTTCGGACCTTTAGACAGGACAGATGGCGGTTGCAAGTGATGCGCAATTCATGGTGCTATCAGTAGCCACAAACTAATCTGAAATCGCCCCTCAGTGTGCATAATGGTTGCCATGCAGTACCTTGTGTTTGGCCAGTTGTACTTTGATCTTGTCTGGCTCGTTGGAGATCTCCAGCTCTGAGTCCAGTCTTTTCTCGGCTTCTTCTAGCCAGTCTGTCAGCTTCCTCCAGGCCTCGTGGAACTGAAAGAAGAAAGTTACAGCGTCAGTTTGATATTCTAATTCAGATGGGTTTTTTTCTGACTGAAGAAGTCAATATTGATACAGTCCTTTCCTAAAAAACATGAAAGGAGACTAACATCTGGAATGACCTACAATGAGTTCAATTGCAGAGGCAGTATAACTTTATACTTCCAAAACATATCTGTTGTCAACCAAGCTCTAAAGCCACATTGTCCATACAGAGATTGCATTTAGTGTAAATCCAGACATGTTTTCATGTTGTCTTCACAGTGTGCTGCTGGTCTTCAGTAGCCTGCAGTTTAATTATCAGTATAGTACCTGTTTGGCACGTTTGCGGGCCTCATCAAGGTGTCGGCCGCGGTCCAGTGACCTCTGGACCAGCTTGTCCCAGCGTGCTTGGACGCTGAGCAGCAAGTTTTTGATGAGGACGACATCCTGCTTCAGACTGGCAAAGCGAAGCTGAGAGCCGGCCTTCTCCAGAGCCAGGACCTGCTCTCTGTGGGTGTTCACCTCATTCACAAATACCTGAGTAGACACAGATGTGAATGCAGAATGAGTTAGGGGAAATAATGTAGCAATGGTTAAAGCCTCTTAACCATGTTTCCAGTAGGTGGTATGTTCAGTACCTTGTGCTCATCGATCTGGAAGAGGACAGTGTCCAGGATGAGGCTGGGGGGCTGGGCCATGTTCAGGGTCTGTTCAGCCTGGGTCAGCCAGTTGATGGTATCCTGCAGAGAGGTCTGGAAACCTGTTGCCAAGGAAACGGCCTCATCCAGCTTTGCCTGGAAATTCAGGGTAAAAACTTTAAAAACCAACCCATACATCGTGGAAAACTAGAAAGATAATATATGTAAAGAACAGAATAGGATAGAGTGATGAAACATTCTCCTCATGTTGCAGTCTTACCCTGCGGTCGTCCATCTTGGTGTTGAGACTGCCCCACTTGTTCTGCAGCATTGCCAGGTTCTGCTGTGTCTGGGTGGTACCGGGTCCTGCTTCCTCTCCTCCACGAGCCAGCAACATGGACTCTCCTTGATCCAGCAGGCGGTGGTACTGGTCTGCTCGCTGAGTCAGCTGGGTCTGAAGCTCCTGTGGACAAAAGAAGAGGCAAATGTGAGTCGACACTCCAGCTACAAGGTGAGTGCTGTTTTGTCTCACTGGTTAATTGAGAACAATGGAAGCTACTAAAGTTTCATGGTCGCCCTTTATCAAATGTCTCTCTGTGTGTGAATAGAACAGCGTGTGTAAGATAACACTCTGAGCATCTGCCTCTTGTGCCTGAACATCATTACTGTGGGATTATGGGAACTATTTCTCTTGCACCTTCAATGCCAAATAAAGTAGGAAAGACATGAATGGCATTAAAAGTTAACATTAGAAACTGTCAGGTGTATCTGTGTGTATTGCGGATGATATTCTGTGCATAAAGGTGTAATGAGATTCTCTGTTACCATGTGTTGCTGTAGCTGCTCTCTGGCTGTTTCAGGGAGACCACCTGTCGGCTTGGCGGCAGACAGCTGGCTCTCCGTCCTCCTCAGCCATTGGAGGAACTCCTCTAGCTCGCCATGGAAACCTTCAGCCTACACAGTGACAGGTGAGGGAGGGGGAGAAATATTTAAATATTAATTATTTTAGCCACATATTAAAATATCATGAAAGCATCACCTGCCTGTATCATGAAGATATTAGCTGTGAAAATGCATTGTCACAAAGCTGAAAACAGGGCTTCTCTTCTGACACCATGAAAAGTTGACTTTTTAAAGTACATTTTGATGATAGTTTAAGTTCATTAAAGCTAATATCTCTGTACTTTTACTTGAGTAGAATACAGGACTTCTACTTGTAGTGGAATATTGTCACAGTGTGGTATTAATACTTTTACTTCAGTAAAGAATCTGAATACTTCTTCCACCACTACTGCAACCATTGCGCTTACTTGTACAGGTGTAATTTTCATAATAACTTACACCAACTGTAAAACTGCGCTGACACTTCACAAGGTGACAAAACAATCCCACCAGAAGGTCCATTTAGTAGCTGTTCTGGAGCTTTGACCTGTTTCAACTGACTGTCTTAAGCAGACAGAGACTGCAACTCCATCTGCTGCTAAACTTCTGGCTGTTTCCAAGGTCAAGAATGAACCTTTAATTTCAGTTTCACATCCAGAGAAGCACCACTAAAGTCAAAAACTCTCAGTATGAAACACATAAACTGTTTTGATCAGTTACAGTGTGTTTTCTTTTGTCCTCATTGCAAAGACTGGGCTCGAATTTCGATTAAGCAGTGCTAAGATCTTGACTTCTTCACAGTACCTGCTGCAGGGCAGCTTCCAGTAGCTTCTGCCGCTCCTGGGTCTTGAGCAGCAGACTCTGCCAGCTTTTGTTGAGCTGATCCAGCTGGTCCCTCAGGTGGCTGGCCTCGTCACCGGGAGACGACTCTAGCAGTTCAGCGCCAGCACCGTTCACATTCTCCACAGTGGCATGATGGGATAGTACATCTTTACGCAACACCTAGGACAGAGAGGAGGGAGGAAGACATTAATCACACAGAAATCGATTTGAATGTTGAGATGAGAAGAAAAGAAACCACATTAGGGCTACAGGACATGGAGACAAAATGCAGCCTCTCTTCAAACAGGTTCATTTACAATTTCAATCTGACCGAGAGGAAGAGGTCACAAGGTAAGTAAACAGATGAGAAGTCTGAGAACTTTTTTTTTCTCAGAACAGGGACATACGTGGTGTTTAGCCAACTCGATCTCGATGGCCTTGGGGTCAGAGCTGACTGGTCGCTGTGTGTCCAGCGTGGTGTGTGTGTGGTTTAGCCAAGCCTGCAGCTCAGACAGGGCATGCTGGAACTGACCCAGGGCCAGCAGGGCAGCCTCAAGTTTGTGCTGTGGTGGAGGAGAGACATACAGAAGTTCAGGCTTAAAAATAGGAACTCAAATATTTGGACTGTAATGAAAAGCTGCTGTCAAATACGAGAAATCCTCCAAAATGCCAAAAAAAGACCAACTTCGTCAACTCCCATGGGAAATTGTGGGGTGAGAGCTGGAGGTCAGCAACAGAATAATGTCTTCCTGAAACAGTTTTCATTTCAGTGTTTTACTTGGTGATGTGGATTCTAACTTTTTGACCGAACTGCAGCCACATGTGGTTTCATTACCTGTCTGTGGGTGATTTTATCCCCCAGGTTGTCCCAGAGGTGTCGGAGCTCGGTCAGCGGCTCCTGGATCATGTCCCTGTCTGTTTGGTCCGACACCTTCTTCAACAGCAGCTCCCCCTGGTGGCACAGCTTCTCCATGTCAATCTGCTGCTGGTAAACGTCCACCTTGTACTGCTGCTCGGGGTTAATGGAGGGATGAGAGGAGAAGAGAAGAGTAGCATTTTGTAAGTTCTGCAAACTTCACACGAGAACTAATAATAAGGATCATACAAGAGATCAAGATGATATAAAAATGTACTTTGAAAAAAGCTTGAGCATAAAATGTATTCTGATTTGTTCAACATTGAGGAGCAAAAAATGAGACACTGTTGCCAACCTTGAGCTCTTCAATCTGCTGTTTGACAGTTCCCAGATCAGTTCCCACAGTCGACATGTCACACAGCTTGATCACTGCGTTGTCCAGGTAGTCAAACATAGACTGGAAATGATGCAAAAACAAATTAGCATACATCAACATCAGCAGGATGACAGTACGTATTGCCATGTGCAATACATTAAGATGTTTTGATATTAAGTTGATGCAGCTTACACTAAAACACTAGCTCAAAAACATTATGATATGGCAGACTAACAGACTAACTCTGATGCACAAACCTGCAGTGCGTCCTGATACTGCACAGACGCTGTCATGGCCTCCTCCAGCCTCTCCATCCGCTCTCTCCACGTCCGGTTCAGGCCCTCCCAGGCAGCGTTCATCTGGGAGAAAGACAGGAAGACAGAGGAAACATGTTAGTGGGTCAACATGTAGCAGAGATCTACAAAATAAAAATATTTTAATGCTTTCAGAGGCAAATGATGGGCAACAAGTATTGAGGTCTTTTACTCAAGAAAAAGCATTAAAGGTAAAGGTACTTCCTTATGTGAAATGAACCCACTCAAAGTGTTACATAAACTCTATACATAAATTATTGACATATTATTATTGATGCATTTATGCAAGCAGCATTTTAATGTTGCCATGTGAGAGATAATTTTAACTACTTTGTATACTGTTGTGTAGGTTAGTTTCAAAGAATGCATAATATTTTTAAACTGATCATATGTTTTACCTGTAAAATCTTTGCCTGAGATGTAGTGACATAGAAGTAAAAAGTGTAAAATTCTCAATTAAAGTAGATTTATCTCAAAACTGTACTTAAGCACAGCGCTTGAGTAAATATACTTAGTTAATAGTGTGTTGATTTTTCACCTCATCAATGGTCTTCTTGACTTCAGGTTTCTCAGTTTCTCCACAAGCAAAGATGAGGTCAGCTCCGAGGGTCCTGACAAACTCCAGCTCCTCCCTCAGACCGTCCGTCTCTGCCTTAATGGCCTGATAGAAGAGTAGAGAGACATCTTACACTTCAGACTGTGGATTTCTGCTTACTGTTTATCACTATTAACCCCCTCCCTGATGTCCTTCATACCTCAGCAGCCTCAATCTGTTGTTTGATGAGTGAGGGGTCCACGCCAGGGTCCTCCAGTTCTTTCACAATATCTTGGGAGTCTCGGAGTGTGCTCAGTAGCGCCGCCACGTCGGCCCAGAACTTTCCGGCCAGATCCAAGACGTCATTCAGTTTCCCCTCCCTCTCCTCTGCCCGCTGCCGGATTTCATCCCACAGAGAGCGCAGGCGCAGGAGGCGAGTACGAACGGCTAGAGGAGAGAGGGGAGAGGAGTTAGAGTTTCAACAAGCTTGTAGAGAGTAGTTGGTGGGATCTCACTGGGCATACTGGGAAATAATTCTATTATGCAGAGTAGAAGAGTAACAATAATATCGTCTTTGTCTGAATTTTGACATCTAGTGTCCAGAACAGCTACGTTAAGTCTCTCATCAGTCCACTCCCACTATCGCTGCACAGTGAGGCCTTTCATTTTCATGAAGCATGGAGGGTGCCAAAGCACAAAGTTCTTCAGAGGGCAATACAACAAAGATATGTGTGTGTGTGTATTCTCACCATGTGGTGGTGTTGGAAGAAATATGCAGAGCTTAACTGAGCTGAATCTGCTCTGTTTCAAGATTTGACAAGGTCTGCCTGCTGGCTCTGCGCCAGTAAAACAGTGACTTACTTTGGCCAATTAATTATGAACTAGTTGGACTGCTGCCCAAAAAAAAAGAAAAAAGATCTGTAATATTTTTTTTTACACAAACCACATAAGTGTTATGTTTGTCTCTCTGTTCTGTCTTTTTGTCTTGATTGTGTAATGTTTTGTTCCAGTTATGGTCAGTATTATTCATTATAAATAAAATCATAGGCACACACTGAATGCCTACAACAAGAGTTGGCAACACTGGTTAAGTTGTTTAGCTGTTCACGTGGTAGCCATTTCAGCCAAGTTTTCCTTAAACTGCTGGCTTCATGTAGAGCAGCTTATCAGTGAATGAAACAATAGCAATAAGGGTGATGTTATAATTAATGAATATAAACTATAGTCTTTGAAATATTGTAACATGGAGATTATTCATTATGGTGTAAATCCCCGACCCTGTTTAACACATTGACTGTGTGTCCTGTCTGCCTGCATGTCATTTTGAATGTTTTTTGTCTGTCATTCACTGTCAGACACATCCCTGCCACTCACCCTGAGCAGCAGGATCGTCGTGAGCAGCTCGTCCGATGAGCTCCTCTCCGCGGGCGCAGAGGGCGGAGAAGCTCGGCAGCAGTTTGTCCAGCTCCAGCCCCTGGGCTCGGTGCTCCGCCAGCTGCTCCCTGATCTTCTCCACCTCTGCTGCCACTGGGGGAGGCTGCCGCAGCCGCTGGACTGCCCCCTCCAGGGTCTCCAGTAGGGGGTCCATCTTGTCGTGGAACTAAGGACGGAAGTAGAGTTGGAAGAAAGTATTATGAGGAGGAGGAGAGAGTGTGTGTTGAGGGGGCTGGGGTTGGGTTTTTGATTGCTGGGTGACATTTTGAAAGTGGGAAAATACTGAGATATCATGTGGGTGTTCAGCCATCTGTGGCATTAACTTTTAGGCTTTTTCATTATTAATTTCATATCATTTCAACAGGAGATGCAGAACAGACGTACTGTTCTTCTACAGTATTTAATATCTCAATATTACACCTTCAGCATGTCACACAGATTGTATAACAAAGTTCAGTCGACTCTAAAGGACTCAGGAGACATTATAGACAAGAGAGAAAACACTGTACAGTTTTTACTGAGGTGATCTTTTTATGCGTCCAAGGGAAATCAAACTGCTTAATCACTACATAACACACCAAATCAGATCTAACCACAAGGGAAAGATTGTTGTGATACAAAAGGAGGGCTTAATCAAGCCTAGCCTGAGACTTAACAACCATTACTGGAAGGCATGTCTCTGTTTTAGGCTGGAGATATACTCGCTTTTTAACCACCTGTTTACGTAGACAACCAGCTGCGTCATGAAAGGAATTGTTCACGCTGACTTGCCTGTGTAATATGTGTGTTTCTGGAGGATTAAAGTAGAGGGCACACCAGAGAGCTCAGACAGTGCAGAACTTATGGATTTGCATGATGTAAACAGTAAACATGGTGACATTCAAGGAGGTTACTATATTGTTTATTCTGAGATCACAGCGGATCACGGCAGAAAAAGCAGTAGAGGAGCCACCGTAGATAATAGTAACAAATAATAACAACAATCTTTATCTAAAAAGCACTCAAACATAACAACATGCTTCACAAGGCAGTAAAATATCACAGATAAGTAAGAAAGTAGGCCAAAGGAGAGGCCATGAATCTTAAGATCTATTCTAAAACATACTGGGAGCCAGTGTAAAGTAGCTAAAACTGGAGTGATGCATTCCCTTCTCTTGATTCTGGTTTAAAGCCTGGCAGGTGAGTTGGGACGGCTGTGACAATGGCGCATATGTTTCTTTCATTCTGCCAGTGCACAACATCACACTGCCCCTACTGTTCATGTGAGTATTACATCTTGTGGACACGCCACATTAATTTCTGAGGACGTGCACAACCAGTGCTGCAAAGGGACGCAGGATATGTGGGGCAGCTATCATGTGAATGCAAACACGCAGTTAAAAGCAAGTTTATCTCCAGCCTTAGACTGGGCTTAACTCAGGTCTACAAGCCTACACAAAAGGGACATTTCCTACCAGATTGATTTCAGTTTCATTGTCACTCAGAGCTGGCAGACACATGGTTTGAACCATTATGTAGATCATACATTTGATTGAAAATCTCAAGCTGTGGTTCTTTCAGTTATTTCTAATCAGTAACAAACCAGACAGCCTTAACCGTTTGAGATGAACTGACTGGTGGGATTAGTACTTGATTAGTATATATACTAATATTAGTATTAATATCGATTCATATTTTATAAATCGACCAAATCATGTGTTGAGACCGGCGCCTGAGTGCCAGTTTGATGTTGTCAGTCAGTGGTCTTACCTCTACCAGCTGGGTGATTGCAGTGAGCAGTGATGATGGAGAAAATGATGGTGGGGTGGGGCAACACACACAGCACATCCACAATGAACGAGGGGTGGGATGGTGGAGGGTTGCAGGGACGAGGGGTTGGACACAGTGATGGGGGAGATTAAGGTTAAGTTTAAAGGGTGAGGGAGGAGAGACAAGGAGGTGGGATGGTTTAGGGTGGAGTGAGGGATGAGGACAGTGCGGAAGTGCAGGTGGAGAAAGAGAAGGAGCAGTACATGGATTGGTTTGATGGTGAGGGGGGGCGGAGGGTGGAGAAACAATACAATGAGTTAAATCAGAGACATGCATACAGTACAAACTGTCAGGCAATATCGACGGCAGCAACACTCTCACAGTCTGCCACTCAGGTGAGTCAATGATGTCTCATGAGATGGTGTCCAAAGAGTGATAAAAATATCAGTAAAGAAAACTAACACTAAAAGAAGATGTGTGATGTGATGAAAGAAAAGTCTAAATGATTCTGTTTCATGTACATACGGTATGTATGAGCTGATGCTAGTGATGTATAAACATTTTAAAAACTAAAACATATAAAACACAAAGTAAAGAAAACAAGACAGCAGACTAGAATTAAACTCTCACTGAACTCATGACTCTGCACGATAATTCCTTATTATCATTTAGTTTAGAGCAGCAGACACAAACAAGCACACACACACACACACACACACACACACACACACACACACACACACACAGACCTCATGCTGCTTTGTAATCACATCAGCCTGTTTTGTCTGGGGCTGCAGACACCGTCTAACAAGCTGTAAACAGACCTGGGCCAAACAGCATTTACAAATTTTCACCTATCTACACAAGGTCTCCACTCTGCACTGAGAGGTAAAAGCGTGAGTTTAGTTTAACAAATTAGGTCAATTCACACACAAAATGGCACGTCAAAGCCCTCCGACATTCTGGTTCCCAAGTTGAATGAATAATAAACCTATCAGACCCAGGTCTGCAGCTAAAACACAGTTTCTTAAATCAAGCATTAAACAGTTAACGATCTGTCCTCTGTGACGTACCTGTGCAGACTGGGACACTGCCTCGTCGAGGGTTGTTGCACGACCCTTGACGCCCTCTTTAATAGCCAGGTAGCGTCTCTCGGCCTCGGTGTAGCGCTGTGTTATCGTCTCCCCCTCCTGGAGGCTGAGCTCGGCCAGCTGAGGTCCGATCTTTAGCAGCTTGTCGATGTGGGGCTTGTGCTCTGCGATAGACTCCCTGAGCAGCTGGAGAGGCAGTGGCAGGACAGAGAGAAAAAATTAAGAATGTGTAAAAATATACACATTTAAGTTGGAAAGCTGAAAACAAAATATCCTTTCTTACCCTCATCTGGTCCTGTTGCAGTCGGAGAGCATCAGTGTCGATGGCTGGTGGTGGCAGCTGGGTGATGAGGGTTTCAGTCTCGCCCAACCATGGCTCCAGTTCCTCAAAGGTCTCCCAGAACCGAGTGACCAAAACCTGGGCCTGCTCGAGAGCCGAGAACCGCTCGCTGTGGCTCTGGCTCACTGTATCATAACGAGCACTGAGAGAATCTGTCTTCACCTGAAGAAGAAAGATGAAACGTGTAAAGACATTAGTGTTGTTATACTTTCCACGCATGATTCAACAGTTAGGCATCATGTCCCTCACTTTCCACTCTCACTCAGTTCATCCCTGACTTGCTACCAGTGTGCAATTCTCGATCAGTGACTCACTATCAGTGCGTCCTTCTGGGCGTCGCTGCAGGTTTCCAGGATGTCGTCTCTGGTGCTGAGCAGCTGATCCACAGTGTCTTTGTGTCGGATGATGTCAATGTTGAAGGCCCTCTGCACTTGCATCTGGGCCACTGTCACATCAGGCTCCAGACTCAGGGGCCCCAGAGAAGCCAATTTACGCTCGGTCTCTCCGACCCAGTCCAGCTCTGCATCCACTGCCTCCTCATACTGAAGGAAGGAGTTAGCGTTTAGCATGTTTAAGTGCTCACAGTAAAATAGACACATCTAATGGAACTGATTTGCTCAACATTAAAGTTTACACCAAGGGTAAGACAGATTGTAGTACCTGTTGTGACCTCTGGATGGCAGCTTGAACCAGCTGCACCCGCTGAGTGATGGTTTCATCAGACTGTCGGTATCGCTGGTTGGCATCGGCAACCAGGCGGTCCAGACCCTCGCGGGCTCGCCACGGCACCAGATCCAGCAGGGCGCTGCCCACCTCGTTCACTGTGTCCAACACCAGACGCTTCTCTGCTGACACTTTCTTCAGCTCCTGCAAAAGTCAGAGCGATGGATTAGTCTTAGCTGCAACCAAGTGGAAACATTTGCTTAAATATAGATTTATATACAAATAAACAGCTGAAATTAACTAAATGGCTTCCACTGTATCACAGATTTTTTGCTGCCTGGCGTCAATCTACTTTCAAGAACACAAGTGGTGAAGCTTTAATAAATGGTAAAACCTGAAAATGTCATTGTAGAGTGAAAAACAGATGGCAGCAACAAATTAAATGACAAAAAAAAAAATCAATAGCTTTTACAAACTGTTATTGGGTTGCAGTAAATCAGTGTTACTATGGTAACTGTGGGTGGGTTGATATTGGAACAGCTGAAATGTCATTACAGACAGGAGCTGTCGTTGAATTAGATATTCTTTTCATATAATGTTTATTTTTGCTCTCATGGGAAAAATCATCTTTAAAAATCAAATACAACTGGTAAAATGTGGATGACTGTAAATCTTGATCAACTAAACACCTCAGTTACAGTCACCCAAGTGCCCCATTGATTGATTTGTAAAGCAGGAGACACTTGTTACAAATGGCTGAAACTAAAAATAAATAATGCAAAAGCAGAACTGGATCTCGGCCAGTTTAATAATAAAAGCAAACAGCCCATGACAACTCCTTTATATCACCTATCCATGAAACCGATTGACGTTGCATCAAGAGAACGGATGCAACGTATAGATGTTGATTCTCATGTTGTTCCGAATATTCATTTTAAATCAAGTGACTCACAGCCAGAGTTAATAATATACCAGGAAGCAGTGACTGTTGTGTCAGAAAGTGAATCACAGACACCATCACAGTGCTGTTGTATTAAACTAACCTCCTGCTGCTGCTGCATCAGAATCTTAGTTTAACTAATCAATATGTTTCTAACTAAAATGTTTTCACAGTGGAGTTTATAGGAAAAAAGTCTAATCTCTTATAAATCATTGCAGAAATAAATGGATATCGATGTCATACTCCACCCACCTTCTGTCTTTCCTGGTATGCAGGTGTGGCGTCGGGCTCCACATTGTTGAGCTCCGTCTCCACACCGTCCAGCCACTGGTTGAGGTCATCGTGGGCACTGGCGAATCGTGTGGCCAGCTGCAGGGCCTGCTCCAGGGTGCGGAGGGCCTTACTGCTGCCGGCCGTCATCTCAGCATAGCGAGACTTAATGCCATCCAGCTTCTCCTGGATCAGGAGAACTTCCTCACCTGCAGGAGGACACACATATGAATCTTATCAGTCTGGATCCAACAGTACATCATGTGCTGAGTGTATAGAAAAAGACCTACTTCTTAGATTTAGAGTTTTTTGTTTTCCTGATTTTTTGTGGTATTTTCTAACTTGCATATCCAATTTTTTGGGTCTCAACTCTTAAACTATCTTATAAAATTCACCACATGTTCTGTAAAATCTCACAGCACACTGGAGTTGACAGTTCCGCATACCGCTCATGGCCACACCATTCATCTTACCATCTAAATATAAGAGTACACACCCAAAATGTGTTCACGGGGTAAACCGACAATCATCCAACTAATAGTGCGAGCAGTCAGCATGGCTAATATCAAGAGAAGAGAGACATGAACCAGATGTTACAGTTTGGTTCACCGCTGATGTAAAAATGTGTGGTTTGGATAAAGATCTACAACAACAGAAGGAAAACACTGTTTTAGTTTCTCTTTTGGAGTGATTTTCTCACTAATCTTCACAACATAAGATTCATAACACACAGACTGCTTTACTGATTTTAGTTCCCAGGGTTTCTGTTAGAAAAAAATGGTGCCACATATTCTGAAGATTTCAACGTCTAGGAGAAAAGGGAGAAATTCCGGTCACATATCATATGTGATTATTGAGTTTAAAAACAATCGATAGTCAGGCTTTACTAGGAATGACATCATCAAGGCGTGTAGATTTATAATACTTTTTTATTGAAAAGCAGACTACTTTTGCTTGTATTTTATATTTCAAATAAAATAATTTCTGTCAATAGCCTCACATGCATAATAAGGTTATTTTAAAAATAAAGAAATATCATGGCAGCCTATGTTCCCTGGGGAAACATGCAATCACCTGTCCTAACATCGGATGCTCTCTGTCCACACTGAATCTGCTAAATATTCACTTCAGTTATGTCATGTAAACATAAAATGTGGGCTGCCTATCAGTTTTTTATGGTCAGAGTGGAGGCGTAACGACCAAAGATGGGCGAATACTTGCTAGCTTCCTATGTTTGTAATTTATAACATTTTATATCGTGATATTGACTGAAAATGACACAAATTTACAAGAAACTTTCAGCTTCTAGTGATCTCCCTCCAGCCAGGACGTTTTGGGTTTTGTCCGAAAATGAAGAGGTACTGTATAGATCCTATTTCAACGTCACAAATCAGCTGTTTCTTGTCTATTGTGGAACTTTTAACGCGAGCGACAGGAAGAATAGCAACAGGGCCTCAAAACAGCAGTGCTGAGTCGCCTGCAACTAGTTAGGAGATTTCAATAGAAAACAATGCAATCAAACTGATTTTGTCACTGCTGCTCGCTTATGTTGCAGTCAGTTAGAACACAGAGTCAGAGGGAAGTATTTCCACTGTACATTGTGAACCCAAATATGTCGAAGACCAACAGATTTTCCTGGTCAAAAATGGTAATTACTGGATAATGGAAACCATGTCAGCTACTAATCATCACAATGTGTGACAGATGATGACACCAGTCAGACATCTTCCAGTACAAATTGAAAAATGACAAAGAAAAACAATTAAATCGTACATAATATCTTTTTAGGAGATAGAAAAAGTCAGGTTAGCAAAATATGAAGATTAGATTAAGAGTCTGAGATTACCTGTCGTCTGTTTTAGTAATGCTTGTCCATTCTTGATGGCCTGGTCCACTGTCTTCTTCCTGCTCAAAATCTCTTCATTCAGAGACTGAGGGGAAAGAGAGATTAAAGTTAAACTCTAGTAGATTAAAACACATTTTGCTCATTGGCTCCAAGGCCTTAACTACAGTATACATCCTTTATGTAACTGTTCACAATAAAGTTTAATCAAACTAAACCAGTTATCTAGTCATCCATATATCATATACAGCTACTATACTGTATAAAATGTCATACATGAATATTTCAGTGATACTTAGCTATGTATATGTATATATGTATAGTAGTATATAAAATCCATATAAATAAATTGAAATTAGCATTCTACATTAGGAGTAATTTTACTTTTGGTCGTTTAAGTATATTTTGATGCTAAGAGTCTTGCACTTTTACTTCACTAAGACTTTTAAGAGGGCATTTCTGCAGTGTTGGAATTACTACTTTTACTTTAGTAAAGGATCTGAGCACTTCTTCCTCCGCTGATTATTACAATTATAAATGTATACTGAAACCCTTTGTTAAATGCACTGCCTACTGTTCACATGTTTCAGAAGGAATAACTGGGTTGTCATTCAGCGTGTTCATGAAGTCGTACCAGAGTGTGTTTGTGCTGCTCGGCCAGTAGCTGGTGCTGGTAGCTCTGGACAGAGACCTGACTCAGCCTCTGAGCCACCTCTGCCAGCCAGTTCAGCACCTCTACCTCCTCCTCCCCAAACAGCTGAGCGTTAGCCAGCGCTTGCTCCAGCATGCCCGCCCGCCTGGAGCACCAATCGGCAAGCTCCGAGTGACCTGACCTCACCGCCCCCACGCGCTCGCTTAGCCAATCCCGATCGGCTGCGCAGCTGAGTGGGGTCAGCGATTGGCTGAGGGACTCGAGGTTGTCGACCTCTGCTTCACGTGAGGACACGTCCTCTTGGACCGCCTGGGAGGTGTGTGTGTGTGTGTGTGTGTGTGTGTGTGTGTGTTTTAGGTGAAAGGAAGTGAGGAAAGAACAGCAAAACAACAGAAAAACAGATGGATAAAAACTCAAAATATGAGCATGCAAATGACAAATTATATTGACAGGAAATCATAAACATCTATGAATGAATGAATAAATGAATAAATGTGTAGAATAACATAAAAAGAACTTAAAACAACTTGACACAACTGATATGAAAACTAAAAACTCAACTTAGCATGCATAAAGCGAGATATCAACTTGTAAAAAGGGTATGCTTGGGTTGTAAATGTTTATTTAGTACGCTATGTACCTTTGTCTGTGTGCTACATAAAGTCATTATTATTAAATGGGACTGTCAAAATAACTGCAATATTGCAATAATGTGGTATTGACAGGCCAGCTGCAGGAGATGGCAAGCAAAGTGCTGAGTCTCTATTTTTTTTTGGTCACAGTTGAGCCGCAGCAGTTGAACACTACTGCGGCTTGTCACTGTCACTTTTTACCCAGCAGTCTCATCACCATGGAGAAGGGGCAGGACAAATAGTCTGCCATTAAGACCAACTGTGACATTGTTGAAGAACAAGGATGGAGGAGAAAGGAATACTGAACTCAGATAGGCTGGTGGATTCATCCTTCCTCCCTACATACTTCACTCCTTCCCTTCATCCAGAACAAGTACTGTATCCTACCTTGTGACAATTTTTTATTCCACAGATATATCATAGCAACCAGACGCAACCAAAGTGGCTCAGCTTAAAAGTGCTGCATCCCTTATCCCGCCTCATTGCCCTACTGTGTTTAATTTGTTTTTAAACAGTGTATTTTTTTGTCATTTAAAAAGCAACAATATATCCAATAATAGCCTAAAACTGAAGCTATTTTCAAAGCACTAAAATCAGGATAAATCAAGTAATTTGCAAAGACAACCAAAAAATGGCAGTCAAACCACAAATCGCGCAGTTGAGCCACCTTTAATCACTGCAGGGAAATTCTTTCACCGCGGCAGCACTGGTTGTAAATGACTGCTTTGTGGATTTTGTGCCTCGTGCTTCCCTCCAGCATCTTTCCATTGAGTTACACTAGACTTATCAAGACAGCTGACTGTGTTTGATATTATGAATTATTCTCCATGTTACTTGTCAGTTCAAATGGGGACTGTAAAACTGGAATGCTAACAATATTTAAAGGTATGTCACCAAGTGTTGTCTTATCTGGAGCAACTGTAAACCTAGCCTTTATTTTGCCAAGCATGCCAACAATTAGGAGCAGCTCCCTGTAAATTCAGCCTCCATTCTACAGCTACAATCTATGAAAAGATGGGAGTGAGAATTTTATGTGTGCAGTTTTAACCTTTTTTGATATTTAGAGAACACAACCCAAAAACTACTCAAGCAGGCTCACTGACAGACATAGAATCGCCCTTTGTGACCTTTTTATTCGGTGAGGGTCTCTGTAACGATGGGGGCCAAACGATACCTTGTGCTTAACGATCTGCTGCGTGATCTTAGCCGTCTGGGTTCCCATGGGCTCAGCGGAGCTCAGGCGTCTCTCGGTGGTGCTCAGCCATTCTCCCAGCGGCTCCAGAGCTTCGTGGAACTCAAGAGCCAAAACCTGCAGCTCCTCCAACTGCCTCTGCCTGAAGGACGAGAGACGAAGAGATGAGGAGGAGGAGGAGGAGGGGAGCTTTTATTGGTATTTTATTGCTTTCACAGATTCTGAGCTCAACTGAAGCTGACTTTGTGTCATACAGCTGTTGTCCTTTTAATAAACACAGCTTATTAAATGGTCATGATTTTTTTATGATATATTATTAAATTCCAAAGACTTTCATAAACAGATAAAATGCTTTATTGTGGTGTGTTTGAAACCGATGGAGAGAGGGAGGTTTTGTGAAGTGGTGAGAAAACACATGTCTGTCTTTGTGTGCGTGTGTGTGTTAGTGTCAACACAAGCATCTCGCAGTGTGCTTATAAAGAAAGCAACAGTGTGTTTGTGTGTGTGTAGATTTACAATATTTATGTTGTTAGTGTTCATACAGACAGTGTATTACATTCCAGGGACGTGACAAAGGTTTTTACATCACGCCTTACAGAAAGTTGTCAGGCATGAATGTTTTATGAACATTATATATGATCACACTACGTTTTATAAGAGGTCATCCCAAATATCAAACCTCTTCACTGAGCCTTGTGAGTGTGTACCCATTTTCTCTGAAGAATCATTTCTTTCCCCAGTGAATGGAAGAGCCGCTGTGATGACTTCAGACCACAGAAACCACAAGTAATGATACTATTCTTTCTTTAAGTACAGTGGAGCTCAACGGAGCCACACACAGATGAAACGAGAAAACAGGAAATAACCACAAGATAACATGCTGTTGAGGAACACCACCAATTATTTCCCAAACCACATATTTACAGCAAGACAAATCTGTAACTTTTAGCTTTCTGAGATATTATCTGTGTTGCCTTTTTAAAGGACAGAAATTATCATTTTGAAGTGTCAACAATCCCAAGAAAGTCAGAGGCATCTACGAGTGCCAAGATGATCTTAAGAGAGTAATATGATATTTGCTTCAGGGAAATTCCCTTTTTCTTTTCTCACTCCACGGGTAAGTCAGAGATGCAGGAGGCTGGAGCTTATACCCAAACTGTCCCCATCCTGAAGCCCCCCTGTACTGTAAAGAGACTTACCTGCCGCTGGCCTTGTCCATCAGGTCAGTCCATCTCTCTGCCAGACTCTGGAGCTGGGTCTGAATCTTCTCTCGGTCCTGAGTGTCCGCTGTGGCTGCGATCCTTTCTCCTTCAGCGCGGATCATCTCCACTGTCGGCCGGCGGTCATCTAACAGTCTCTGTAGCAGCTGGAGGAAGAGAAACACACAGTCATGAGTACAAATTACTTCTATGAGAGTTCTCTTTAGAGCAGGCATTAGGTTCCACTGTGGGCCTTTTTTAGCATTGTTCTCTGTTTATTTTGATTAATTTAAATTGTTCTTATATTTTCATGACTTTATGGGACTACAGTAAAGACCAATTCACCACGATGTTGCACCAACACCATTCATCACTCTAGGGTCGAAAACTGTCAATTGATTTGAATTGCAGAGATGTGTGAAATTGGTGAACTTGTTTTTGTCTAAACACTATGATCCGATCTCTCTGATGTTTGCAATGTGCTTATTTTGTGTACCGAGTTGATTTGCTTGGATCTTTGATAAACCAAATCTACCGGAATGGGAGCTAAACAATGTACTGCTGCAGCAAAACGTCTTTTAGCCACCTTACACACTAACTAATCGAGGCAGCGGTAGACCAGCAACTCCCATGTTCTGTGAAATACAATTACTGTTGTTGTCAATGGATTCTGGTAGCTTTGAGCTAACGCCTTCAGTTCCCTGTCTGAAAGGGCTGCTTGACAGCAAGGTAAAGACGTGAACATTTTCTAAATATAGTGTACATTTAAACTGATGTTGATGTTTTAAGGTGGTCCTTTTTAGGTGGCTAAAAACTAACCAGAAGGGGCAGCATTTGCTCAGCATCATGGACTTTATGTACGCGACACAAGCATTTTCTACCTGGAAGTTATTGTAAACAAACATTGTAATTTTGTCTGTTAGATATTACATCAGCATTGTTATCGACAGATGATGTGTGAAAAACTTAAAGTCTGATGTAAACAATGATGGTGAAAACTTAAGCTTTGTCAGAGGGGTGAATATTTTTGCTCAGGCTGCTATTACTGATTTACAGTACTTCTGTAAGCTGAGAGGGTGCTTACATTCTTACATTCACCATAATACTAGAAACACAAAAAAACACAAATTTGTTTAACACCACAACAAGCTATAGCTTCCAAAAATGACCATTAGGTTAAATCAAAGCCGCCTGTACTCAATTTTTCTTTCCTTAGGAGTGTAACGGCATGACCCACCCTACTCTCCCTCTAATCTGCGGTTAGGTTTGGGCAAGTCTTAGGCATGAAATAAATTGTGTGGGAGAATTTATCTTTTTTGTCTGCAACAGATTGTGACATGTGTTCCATTGTTACCAAAACCTACACTTTGAAACATTACCAACACTTGCCATTTTTTGGAGGAGAGCCTCGTACAAAGCTCATCAATCATTCCCTCTTTAACACTGTTATCAATGTTTCATTAAAGGGCTCATGTCATCTCTAGATGAATTATTAAACATTTAATTAGTGTAGGTGCTACTTTTTAAAAGGTAGATATAAAAAAAAACTTTATTCACTTTACTAGTGATCCAACTGTTAATATTAGAAAACAAAATACACGAAGGAACTTCCTGTCTGCTCAGATAGCAGCCTCTCAGTCTGCTTTGAACCAGCAGCTCGGTTCAGCCCCTGGAATGCACTCTACAGTTTACGCTCTCTTTCTCAGCCAAACAGTGACACCACTCGCCGTCACGGATGTAAACACGTGTGATTGATCGCTGGTTGAGACTGCAGCACACTCATGTGCACAAACACAGGAAGTGTATGTTGGATAAACAGGGGAAAAATGTGTGTGTGTGTGTGTGTGTGTGTGTCTAAAAACAATACAAATCCACCATGCATATGTGTGTGTGTGTGTGTGTGTGTGTGTCTGTTTTTTTGCCAGTCTGACTGGCAGACGGTCAACTGGGGCCGTTTGGATGCCAGGCAGACGGATCATTGACTGTGTGTTTGTGTGTGTGCTTGTCATTCAAATATCTATTGTTTGTAGTTGAAGGACATTAAGGACATCTGAATATCAATAATGTCTCCATTCAACACATCTGATAAAGAGAAGAACTGTTTCTCACAGTAATGTTTAAAAAAAATTAACAAATAATTCAGAAAAATTTAAAGTGAAAATTAAAATGCACAGCCAGAAGCTGGCAGGATACTTCAAAGGAAGAAGAGGAGGATGTGGGTGGCAGAAGCTTAAAACTGTGCTTGATGATCGCCGCATCAAATCCACAAAAATGGTAAATTGGACCAGACACAGAATAAAAAACACTTCTCATCAAAATGTACTCTTGATGACCTTAAGAAAGCTGCTTTAAAGGTCCAGTGCGCAGGTTTAGGGGGATGTATTGGCAAAAATGGAATATAATATAATAAGTATGTTTTCTTTAGTATTTAGTCACTTGAAAAAAAAGAATTGTTGTGTTTTCGTTACCATAAAATGAGCCATTTATATCTACATAGGGAGCAGGTCCTCAGCTATGGAGATTGCCATGTTGGACCACCATGTTTCTACAGTAGCCCAGAACAGACAAACCAAACACTGGAACATTCACGTTTTGGCCACCATAGTTAGCAGCTGCTTCTTTTTTAATTTTTATGTGAAACTGCTTTATTCTGTGTTTAAATCACTGGGTCTGTTTGTTTTGGAGAGGAAGACACCTCTGTGGTTAATTTGGCTCCCATTGAAAACCTCCTGAATGCCTTCATCTTAAGTTATCAAAGAAAGTAGTTGAGCACACATTAGCAGGTGTTGGGTTCGTCTCCGACATGCCAAACAGCATCAGAAAGACACAGATTTATGATGTTAAACTGCCTTTTTCAGTGTTTTTACCAGTTTGAATCAACTGAACCATTTGTTTTGGAGAGGAGGAGATCTCTGAGGATAATTCAGCTCACAGTAAAAACCCTCTGAACAATGAACACTGAAAGAATACTAACCAGGAGAAGTTTCAGCTGTTTGCAAACTGAAATTCACACTGGTAGATGCCTTATTCCCCCTAAATCTAACACACTGGACCCTTTAATCTCTCAGTTATGTTTTAATGTCTACAATCATCACTTGTGTTATTAGATGTGAAAAGATGGTTTTATTTTATCTCTCCTGTACCTTTTGTTCTTGGATCTGGGCCTTGACCACGCGGTACTCAGCAGACGGGGGCTTCTGATTGGCCACCAGCTCCTCTGTATCACTTAGCCAGCTCAGCAGAGGCTCCAGAGCATCCTGGAATTTCCCACAATGCAACAGAGCCTCCTGCAGCTGGGCGATCCGCTCTGCCACCTGAGGACAGGAGAGGCAAAATCGATATGATAAACTGTAAGTCTATTTAAGACCAAAAAGCACACGTCAGAGGCCCATAGAGTGGAGCCGTACCCGCTTGTTGAGTGAGTTCCATCTGAGGTTGGTTGTTTCCAGGTCGTGCTCCAGCGCCTGGGTGTCGGTGTGTTTGGCGGCGCTCTGGATCAGACCCTGACCAACTGCGTTGATGTGCTGCAGCTTCGGTTGAATGCTGTCCACCTGCTCTCTCTCCACAGCCTGTAAGAGGAAGCCAGAAAATCATTAACTGATTTATTGAACGATGCAGACAAAAAAAGACGGCCCAACAGTTTATTGGAAAGCAAAAGGCAGTAGTCAAAAATACACCGTGCATTCAATCTGCGTGACAACAAATGGAAGTGAACTTCACCACATTATACACCTATATATAGAAGCGAGTGGATATTAGGAGACGAGAGACAGACAGAGGGATGTGCAGAGATAACAGAGGAGTGGGAGACAGGAAGGGAACAGGAGAAATGAAAGTGGAGGGAGGAGAAAAAAAGAGGAGGGGGGAGAAGAGGATTATGGGGATTAGAGGGTTAGGCGAGTAAGGGGCTAGCTGGAAAAGGCTGAGTCGGCAACACACACACACACACACACACCATAGAGTACACTAACACACTTGCATGGGTGCACACACAACCTTCACTTAATCACACACGCAAGCAGACACACAGAGAGACTGACACTCACACACACATTTATAGCAAATACACACAGGCACAAGTTCGCCTGTCTGGACACATTACTCATACACACACGTCACAGTGGAGGGCTGGAGCCATCTTGTGATGACAATAGAGGCAGCCACCCGACACTAAAGACAACCAGACTTGACTTCCCTGGCCCAAAAAAGACAACAGCCAGTACAGCTCCTCTGTCGTAGTGAATGTGTGTCACTATAGTATCCAAACCCATATGTACAGTATAGGTTCTCTGATTCAGTCCAGGATAGTGCTGGGTACTGTTACTATATCAGTACATTTAAATTGATTCAAATACCAGCAGAGTACTTCATTTGATACCTTTTTTTTCTACTCCATTCAATACCTGTCATGAGAATGGAAGCATTCGGCTGCATAAAATGTCACCACACTTTTGCATGTTTTGGTGGCACCTCAGCACTCTGACCTGCTATATTTGGCATATACAACACGCTCAAATTCATCAAATTTTTGGAGACTATATGGGCTGTAGCTGCTGCGGTAGTGGGCCAATCACATGTCGCATTAAATCGAAGAATGCTTGCTGTGATTAGCTGCAAACAAAACCATACAAATAGTCTGGGTACACAAAAGGTCAAATGCAGGCATCATTTGACTGGAGAAGTTGTGATATGATTTGGTACTGGGTTATTTCGGTCAATACCTTAAAGGTATTGAATACCAATATCTAGCCCTACACTGTAGTCCAGGGTCCCATTTGGGGATGTTGGAGACATTGCAGAGGTCCCAAGCAGTTAAGACTAATAGATTTAATTGTATTTCCACACAAAAGACTGTTTACAGGTGCAGCAAATTAATCTACAGCCATTTTTACAATCAATAAATACTTAGTAATCATGCAACATATCACACATTCCCTGCTGAAAGCTTACCATATGTAAGAATTTATTGTTTTTTGTATTTTATATCATTGTAAATTGGATATATATTTGTGTTTTGAAATGGTGGTAAGACAAATAAAAAGCTGTTTCATTTTCTGTCAAACTATAGACTAAAATATTTAGTGATCAAGGCTGGCCCATGCTAAAAGATTTTTCAAATCTTAGCAGATGTTGAAAATGTGAGACACCCCACACAAAACGACATGTAATGATTAATTTAACAGTTTTGTTCCAGTAGTATGTGGGAAGCACAACTTGAACAAAACAGCACAGCACACAATAACAGATTCCACTCACAAACAGCCAGAGTCCTGACTCTCAAAATTGCAGATCTCGCAAATCACTTGCAATCAAAGGTGACATTACAGTAACCAAACTTGGCAGATGACGGGCTGGAGGACCTAGCTGTAAGTTCTTGCACAGCTGTTTACAGAAAATTCCCAAAGGAAAAAAAGGATGAAGTCAATAAGAGGGTGTGAACATGGACTGAGTCTGACTTAAATTGCATAATAACACTCTGAGACCTGCAGGACTGCTGGCAATCCTCAGGGTTGCCTCCTCAAAACAGGATATTGGATTGTAGATATTGAACATGTTGAATAATTGCGATTTGAAACTGGTGCAGCCAGGGTGGACTTCCGAGCAGATCGGGGGATGTAAAAAAGACTCTTAACATACCTAACGCCACGAGAACATCTAGCAAAATGATCTTTAGAATCATCAAAAAAATCAGGGCTTTGCTGACAAAGTCAGGAGGGGGAATCAGGTCAAAAATTGGCATGATTCTCGTACAGTGCGCACCTCTTGGCATGAAAAATTATGACAATGAAAGTAATAATTAGCAGCAATTTAATTAGCCTTAAAACAATATAAATTGAATTCAACAGCCCCAACATGCCCCATTACAAAACTGTATGACTTCTCAGTGACTTTTCATAATTTTGAATATCTTCATTTCATAATTTAGAGCACATCCCCGACCTAAAAAATCTTGTTCCTGTCTTACTTGTTAATGGGTTTTTTTTTCGACAGGGGTAAACAGTCTGGTTTTCCCTACAGCTGGTTTTACTGTGGGGAAAAATAACCCCAAACCAAACTGCTAATGCGATGAATGTTGGAGAAAAAAATACATTCTGCTAAATTCCTGTAAACCATCCTGCTTTATCCAACAATTTGCCAAATCCACATAACAACTTTCACAATTTCACGCTATTCCACCAGTTCCCTGACCAGTGGGAACACTATACTGTAGACCACCATCACTGAAATGCCTTTCATTTGGTCTTTACTGGGACAGAATCCTGACAAATGGGTGTCCGAGGCGGTAATGTGGGGAGGGGGGGTTACTGTCATGAAAACATTTGAGAAAAGTCCTGACATTTAGAAAAGCCCTACAGAGGGAGAATTAGGCCTGGTGGTTTATAATGCTGTGGCAGCCAAACCTCAATGGCCACACAAAGAGACAGAGACACACACAAATAACCAGATGTGCACGTCCAGAACACATACACAACAGATTTTGGTAAATCCAGTGCCTGAGGGAAAATAGCTGGTGTGACAATACTGAGGGGGGTGCAGTCTAAGTGAGGGAGAGGGAAAATGTGGGTTTGGGTTTCAGTGAAATACCACAATGGCCTGGAAGAAGCTACAGCAGTCGTGGGTGTCCAATAGGCAAATAATAACAAACCACTGCACACTACTGCACCTAATAAAACTGAAAAGAAAACATCACAAGAAATGGTTCTCCCTCCGTTTTCACCACAAAATCTGAAAGACATATTTGTCAATCTTTCATCTAATCACTCCTGCGACCTCCAATAAACAGCCACTAACAGACTAACAGTGTATTTGTCTACACATTTAAGCAAGTTAAACTTCATCCTTTTTCATTTTAATTCACCACAAAAAATATAGCAGAAATAGAGGTATAATTAATCGCTATATGCATGAGTATAAAAGGTTGATATCTCAGAAGATCAGTACATCTTTGAGGTTATATCGACAGGGTTCCTACAGTTTAAGGCAAGTTAGATTTAAGACTTTCTAAAACTTTTTTAATGCCACTCAAAATTTAGGACCAATTTTACAAAAACCAATATTTAAGAAAAAACATGAACTGATGATAATTAATTTGGGTTAGGGACAGTTTTGCCCAAATGCTTATTGTAAACATAAAACCTGACTTTTTGGGGAGGAAAGAGAGTTTTATAGGCGATTGTGTTTCTCAGTCTGCATGTAGGATTCCACTGCTTTGATTCCCATCATGCTAAGATTGGTAAATAGTTTTGCATAAAATATTTAGAGCCTCCTATGTGTTGCCTTGTATCAGTTTTAATCATGCCGCGAAATCTTGGTAAAATGGCCAATTTTCCTGCAATTTGCAGGTCCCCATGTCGTCCAGTGTATAGTGACACCTAGCTGCATGGATGAATCACTGAACGGGCCTACTGGGCAAAGTGTCAGGAGGTCAATGGCCTTCACTTGCAAAATTTCAAATGTCAAATGAACACATCCCGACCAGGAAGGGACTCAAAATGACCACAGAGGCACAAAATGACAATAAAGTGGACAGAATTTCCCCCAAAAAGACACAAACCCAGCAAAAGATGCATAATGACTAATAAGAGATGCAAGACCACCACAAAGTCTTTGCGTCTTGCTCCTATGTAGGAGAAGTGGTGGGGCCCTTGGGTGCATTGTCTCAAAATCTGCCCATGGCTAGCTAGCAGACAGTGAATCCTCTGCTGTGAGCATCCTGGCCAGACACAAAATATGGTTCCACTATCCTGATCAGTGTGAAGTTAATGTGAGAGGCGTTTGATAATTTTTTTTTTTTTTAAAGTTAGCAAATATTTTGAGATTTTACAATGCAACATCAGAGAAAAAAAGCAATTCATAAAATCCTACTTCCCATGTCTGAGCATTTTAAGACTTCTAAAAGATTGATTCAAGACATGTTAATACAAATGAAGGCCTTATTTTTAGATTAAAAAAGCAAGATGAAGCCAAATACAAATCACGTCCAAATGAAAGGTTCTAATTTGCCTTTCATTCAGAACATATTCCCCTGCGTTTACAGGCTTTCAAAACCTTAGTTCTGAGATTTATGAGGTGTTGAGGATGTTTGCAGACATTATTACTGAGTTGGTGTTGTCGATCGGGCTGGAAGTGGTCAAGCTGGAACGTGTTTCTGAGTCTCTGCAGTGGGTCCTAATCAAAGGGTTTACAGGTTTCTGCTCATCTGGTTTAAATATGGCATCAAACTGCAGGTTCTCTGTGCCAAGGCTTTGTGTGTGTGTGTGCGTGTGTGTGTGTGTGTGTAAAAATAGTGTATGTGTGTAATTATGTGTGAGAAAAAAATGACTAGGTGTTCTACAGGTATGACTCTGTGTATGACTAAATATGAATGAGCAGTTGTGTGTGTTTGTGTGTGTGTGTTCCTGTCCAGTTTGGACGCAGCTGTGTTGTGGTGATGGGCGTCATAGCTGCTTGGAACAGGAAGTCTGTCGGCCAGAACAACAATGACTGCAGCCATGACCCACTCCACCCTACGCCTTATCCTGGTGTGTGTGTGTGTGTGTGTGTGTGTCAGAGATAGAGGGGAACAGAA